CGCAGCCGCACCTGAGCTGTTGGCACTTCGCGGCTGGCCGGCCGGTGGCCGGTCAGGCCGCCGGGACGGATGGTGTGGCAATGGCATCGATATAGCAGAAGGACGCAAAATTGGTGCATGCAGTTTCATCTTGCGGTGGCCGTAGTCCCGGTAAAGTGTGTGTCCATCAAAATGGATATAGCCTAGTAATAGCCATATTGGACAATGGGAGGGCTGCCTAGCTAAATTTGGGCAGACAACCAAACAAAGCTCCAATTTGATAAAAAAAAAATCTTAGATTTTGAATATGCATGTTTTGGCCTACTCCTACATCCTACATAGGTAACCAACCAAACAAAACCACCACACCACTTGGTGTCGGTGATGATCCCGGCTGCGCGTGCCAGTGCGGCAGCGTCCCCTACGTAGCATGCTATTTTTCATTTAGCAGCTGGGCCTGGGGGATTTGTTTGCTGGAAAGAGAGGCAGTTTGGCACGCAGCATGCATGCTCCGGCGGAAGAGCAAACAGATTCTTCGAAGGTGGCGGACTTTTCCCATTTTCCATATCTAGGGTCGTCCGTCGGCGTCCGGGGTCGTCGTTGCGACGCCGAGTTTGTAGTCGTGGATTCGCGGCCGTTCTACGCGCCGGGGTGCATGGTTCTGGTGATTCATGACGTCTGTTTTTGTTGTGCGCGGCCTCAATGGCCAAGCGCGTTGTCGGGTGGTTCGTGAGGTCCTTGCCCAGTTGGCCCTTGTCTGCGCGTTGGCAGGTTTCATGCAGTTGTGATCGTCTTTATCTCTGTTGTTTATCGTAGCTTCTTTTGGTGTTGTCTTCTTTCTTGTAGGGGTAGCTTGTATTGTTTACATGTCTAAGCACGGTCTCCGGAAAAAAAAAAATTCAAACCAGCGTACGGCGGGTCGGCGAGATGGATGCCCTGGTCATGGAAAACGGAATGCCGAATGCGCTCGCGTCAAATCAGTTTGGGAGGCCGTCAGGCCGCGGACAGCAGATGGCGCGTGTGCCACGCATGAACAGCCAGCCAGCCAAGCGGAAAGCCTACTACGACCGAGTGCCCGGTGCCGCTCAAGAAAAAAGAGACCCTGATCTGTTGGCCCTGCGGCTGGCCGGGTGGTGTGGCGCAAATGGCATCGATGCGGCGGCTTTCGGGCGGGTGGGGCATGATGATGGTGCCGCGTCTTTTCTTTGGATAAAGGAGGCCGGGCCGGGGCCGCCGACCGCGACGCGGCTGGCTATGGTATGGACACGGACGCGTCCCGTAGCCACCCGGCCGGCCGCGCACGCACGGAGCGTGTGTGTTTCTGTTCCGTGTTCGTCCAGCTAGCGCTCCCGTGTGTGCTCGCTCGCAGTCGCACACGCGGACGGAGGGGACACGGCACGGGACGGGACAGGCTAGGCTGGCTAAAGGGGTCCCTGGGTGATTGATTGGTTGTTGCATTGATGCCTTTGATGGACGCCGGTAACCTGCCTGTCAAGTGTCCCTCTCGGTGGGTCTGGGACAGACAGATTGGGAGCAGAGCAGCCGAACCCATCGCTTTAGCCCCTCACGCGTGCTCGCCCGTACCCGTACGTACTGCCTTGCCGTTGCCGGGCACATTCCTATCCTTCCTTCCCTCTCAAACGAGCGTGGATGCTGACGCAGACACACGGCTGACCGCGATCGAGGTCCGTGATTCCCATGCGCCAGCCACGGCGCGCGGCAACACACATGCTTTCACTTGACGGAACAGCCGTGCCGTGTGCACGCACGCGCGCGCGGAGGGGTGCCGTGACATCACCCCACCGATGGTGGGAAAAACATCTCAGGTGTGTCAAAAAGAGATCCTTCATCAACCATACTCCTAGTCCTAGCTCAAAGCTCTCGGGATCGTGGCCTTGCTCTGAGAACCCTCTGTCCCTCTCCCCGAACATAAGAAACGTTCTTTAGTATTTTTAGGTTTGGATTGTCATAACAAGAGCTTGTTTAGATCCCATCGTCTAGAGTTTAGCCACTAAACTCTAAAGTTTAGACCACTTGAACTCTCGAGCCACCAAATGGCCTAAGATTGCCTCTCAAATTTAGTCAACATCACAAAAAGAGCACTAGTTCATTAGACCACAAAAGTGAGGTAAAGTGGTTTCATATTTAATCTTTTACTTCAGCCAACTAAATCTAACATAGCCTAAATCGAACGGTTGTTCTAGGCCAAAGCTTTCGAACACCGGTTGTCGCTCAAGCGAAATCAAAGTCGAAAGGTGAGAAGAACGGGGCACAAGCGAAACAAGATGAATGATTTTATTAAACTTGTTCCTCCCCGCTTTTGCATTCCCCTCACGGGGGCTATTTATACATGCCCGTAGACATTTTGGTAAGACAATGCTGCCCCTACAACTACTACAATGTCTGGAGAATATTCTCTGTTGACGTGGGCTTGCTCGCCAATCGGAGTCCCTGCCTTCCTTAGGTAGCGCCGGCTCGGGAGAACCTGACCAGCCTCGTCTCGTCGCCCTTCCGACCGACCAAGTGGGCCCCAGGCGGACAGGAGTTATCGGCCGTGCGAGAGCGGGTGACCCCTTTATTGACGAAAACCTGCAACAATGATCAAACAAATTACCAACGCCTATTCGCCTGAGCGAATAGTTTGCTCCGTTTCCACGCCCCTGACCATGCTGATCCGAGCCGCGCTGTCCATCTCGCCAAGGCGAATGGTGCTCAGCCAGTCACGGGGCTTGGGTGGACCTTGCGGTTTGACCCGCCATTCCGTCAAGGCGAAAAGGGGAATCGATTCAGGGCGTGGCCAGATACCACGCGACTTACACCGCCCTCATTCCGCTCTGACAAAACGGCCATACCATGCCCGACTTTTCGTCTTGGAGAAATGTTGCATGCGTTGTCGGGCTAAGACCGATTACGTTCTCGGCGCCCGCTATTTCGCCTGCGCGTGACACTACCTGCGCTATTAATGAGCGAATGGAGCGGCGGTTGAGCCCCATGGGGTGCCCAATGGTGGGGCCTGCCCCCAACACTAACCAACCAGTTAAACTACGCAGACTTTGCTACAAAGACATGTTCTTAACTTCCCTTGTTTCTCGATACCCATGACATCACGTGAATTAACAAAGTTATTTATAGAATCGAATGAAACCTAGAAGAATCGTAATCAATTACAAAGTGACTTGATTTGGAAGGCAAAAGCAAAGAGCAAATACACATGCTTTGCGTGGACAGTAACCCCATACAATAAGATTTTAAAGGCAAACAACCGAGCGCAATAGCGCACACATCAAACTTCCTGCCTTCTCGCACACACAACCGGCAGCGCTCGCTGTAGCTTTTTTTTTGGCTACAGCTACACCTGTTTGTAGTATTCACTACGTTCGTTTGTTGGTTTTTTTGCAAATTTAAATCAAGTAAACGGATGATTTTTCTCTCACAATAAACCAAAGACCAGGTCATTTAAATCAATTAAATCGACAATGAATGAGCAGGCCGATTAGCTACATTAGATAGTAGCTCTTTTTTTTTGGGGGTGGGGGGGGGGGGGTACACAATCCACAACTGCTCCCTAAAAGGTTGCAACAAGCCAGGCGAGGAAACATAAATTCACTTGTGTATTCATTGATGTTTGGGCGAGGGTTGTACATTTGGAAAAACTCTAGCCCACCATCACACATTGAACCTACCTCTTACAATCCTGTTCGGATTGGAGTGATGTTGTAACCCATAGAACAGTAATGTCATTTCTAATTTTCAACAAACCTACATCTACATTATGTGAGGTTTGTTGAAAGATGCGCTGCACTACTTCAGCAGTATGTTTCAGCGAACGAACAAATATTTTTTCTCATAATATTTTAGCATAAGCCAAATTTCAGCAAAAACGAACCAGGCCAATCAACAAGTTTTCAAGAATGTAAGTTCTGGCCGCACAAGGAGGTTGCCTTATGTGCATTGGAGGATTCTACGCACTAAGCAGTGAACGAGAGTTTTGACTGAATTCATATTAGTGCAGTGAACGAGAGCTTTTAAATTGAATTGAATTAATTTCAGTAGAGGGCTCGGTGCAGTCTTTTGTGACGTCAGGAGCTGTCGTATTTCATTCTTTTTGGGTGCTTAACCGTTTGAGGCCGTGTTGAGGCCATTTGAGGTCGTTTTAGTAAGGCCATGTTTAAAATATAAGAAAATTTCCCCATTTCAATTTTTTTTCTTGAAATTTTTGTATGATTTTTACGAAAACCCTTTAATTCCAAACAAATCCTGTTATCTTCAAGTGCAGATCTCCTGCTAAAGTTCATAATAATAATAATAACAAATCAGTATTGAATGATGGTTGGACAAGCCTGATCGCTCTGCCATGCCGAGCACCGTCCAGCCACAGATCAAATAGTTGCAAACCAGCCTCATGTCGGCATGTGGGGAAGCCTCCCAGCATGTCACCACATTTTCACATCTCATTTCCCGTCAACGGGAAATTTGACCAAACCATACTGAAGCTCCAACAGAACACCGCACCCAGTCACCCACCATCCGAAATCCGTTGCACACGCGCGCGCGGAGCCACTCACACCGTCACACGCCCTCTTGGCCCGCAGGCAGGTGGGTCCCGCGCGGCCGCGCACCACATGGGCTGCCTGCCTGCCTCCCGGCCCCAACCGTCCCAGGCCCGGCAAGGAATCTCCACGCCACCCCCACGACTGACGACCCCCGTCCAAGCCTCCCGGGCCCCACCTGTCGGCCGGGGCCCAGGCAGCGGCCCACCTTGTCCCCGCTGCCCGCCCCCGCCGCGGGACACGGACACGCGCCTACGCGCCACCATTTATGGTGGCGAAAGCCCCGTCGCAACTACCCTATATAACCACGGCTCTCCCTGTCTCACCGGCACTCTTCAATTCCACACAAAGCTTCTCTCCTCGATCCTCACCTTCTACTCTACGGCTCTACCCATCCTCCTCTTACCACTACTTCCTCTCTCAAGAGTCAAGAACACAGCAACTAGCAAGCTTTCCTTTCTTTTCTGATCCATGGAGATCGACGCCGACAACCTGAGCGCCACCGAGCTCCGCCTCGGCCTGCCTGGGACCAGCAGCAGCGACGACTGGCAGAAGAAGCCGTCGCCCTCCGTCGGGGCCAAGCGCGCGCTGGACGACACCAGGAGCGAGGCCTCGGGGACCAGCCCGGCCACCGCCGGAGACCTCGACCACGACACCGCCGCGCCTCCAAAGTAAGAGCAACCCCCCTAGCTCCCCCATCCCTTCAGAAGAAACCCCTGCATCAAGAGACAGAGTGCATGGGCTAACCTTTTCCCTTTTCGCTTCATTAGGGCGCAAGTGGTTGGATGGCCGCCGGTGAGGGCGTACAGGAAGAACACCTTCCAGGCGGCGGCGGCGGCCAAGAAGGCCGAGCAGCAGCAGGGAGGAGGCCTGTATGTGAAGGTGAGCATGGACGGGGCGCCGTACCTCAGGAAGGTGGACCTCCGGATGTACAAGGGGTACAGGGAGCTCAGCGACGCGCTGGACGCCCTCTTCACCAAGTCCATCTCTGCCGCTGCCGCCGCTGCGGAGGGCGGCGAACACCAGCACGCCATCGCCTACGAGGACAAGGACGGCGACCTCATGCTCGTCGGAGACGTGCCCTGGGAGTAAGTACCATCAGATCAGCATGTCACTTTCTGTGGATCTGAGGATATGCGTGGTGAACAGAAGGCTAATTGTGACTCGGTTACCTGTTTGCAGTATGTTCATCTCTTCATGCAAGAAGCTCAGGATAATGAAGGGCTCTGAGGCCAGGTGATGATCGTTGATGCATAAGCAGAGGGCAGAAGCTATGGACACATCACACATGGGAGCGGATCGAAGAGCACAGATCGTGCTGACGAAGGAGCTGTGTGGTTTGAGCTCTCCAGTGTTGTACAAAGAGATGTTTGTTTCTGAATCCAAGAGGGAGAAAGATCTATGAAGCGTGTATATAATCTTAGCTAGCTGTTTTTTTTTCAAGTTGTGTTTTGTATGAGCGAAGGCTGTAAAAAAATGAAAAAGAATATGAGAAATTTGACTAAAGCTGGTCATTTTCCTCTCCACATCCTTCCAAAACAAAAAAAACAAAAATCTCTTCACAGGTTCCCCTCTCTGTATATGAGATAAATTACTTTCCTGTCACTGCGATTTTTCATATCCCTGTCATTACCCTTATACATAAAAATGAACACTGTCCCAACGCAGCGTTTTTTTTTCAGACCAAGCTTCTGCCTTATCTAATCCCATCTAGTTTTGGGAATCAAGGAGCTCTCATCCTATCTCACTACTGGCTCGGTTATTCAGAACTCAGATCTGGAGAACTGAAAGACACATCTGACGGCAATAGATCTGAATGGGCTAAAAACATGATTATTTTTCCAAATCCGTTTCTTGGAGACAAATTATGATAAGAAAATTATTTCCATAAGGTTCTTGACATTAAAAAAACAAAATAGTAGAAGAAAATAACTACTCCTTCCGAAAATAAGTGCACTTGTTTAATTTGTTGAGGAGATCAGTGTTACCAGAAAATTACATATATACTCCTATCAAACGTTGTTCCAACATATATAATAATTGTACCTTGGGATAAAGAAAGTAGAAATCACTACTAGAGCTAGGTGATTCTATAGCTAAACTGCATTTATTTTTGAACAAATTTTAAATGTTAGAAGTGCGATGGAGAGAGTACTAGACAACAACCTCTCGGCCATTGTTCAAGCTGTAAAGAAGATAAGGGCATAAGGTACCATCCCTGCCTGCCGGCTGGCAGACAAAGCAGGGGGGCATGGATCAAGCAGAACCCCAGGGAAGAATCCAAACGCACAGAAAGCCACACACGCTGTCTACGAGGAGCTGAGCATTTCGTGGCAGGATACTCTATGATATGCAGCGCGGCAGGAGGAGAAACGGACACGAATCTCAGCAAATACTCACAGATGGTTCAGAGAACATGATGATACGGTTGGTGCACTGCACACCTTCCGGGAATCCCCCTGCGGCCGGGGCCATCGCGTGCAGCGGGAGACAGGGAGGAAGTATCCAGAGGGCTAACGACAGCTGACCATCTGTGATCGTATGATATCATCAAATGCTGCAGCAGTCAGGAACATGTGATGGCTGTCATGCAGATGCAGTGGGGGTACTAATAGTACTGTAACCGCATCGACATCTCAAACAAGAAACATATGGTGGTAACGTGCATAGTCTTGAGCACGATGGAATTGTGTGGAGGTGGTGATCATGTTCCTGTGGAAGGGAATAGTGCCGTGTCGCCGTGTAGTGGCGACAAGATCACAGATCACAGCTTAGAATGTTGCAACATAACAAAAGTGCCTTCAAACAGTTCCAAGAAATGATTCCAGAGGGTAAGCAGAATGCAATGCTTGCGGCAGCAACAGCTCAGTGGGAAATGAAAAGGCTAAAGCAGTATGTATGAAGCAAAGTTTTAAATAGCGCGCTATAGCGGACGCTATAGCGCTATTTAGCGGATTTGGAAGACCAACGCTAAGCTACCAGGATCTTAACGCTAAACGATTTTTTCCGCTATTAGCTGCTAATAGCGCGCTAATTCCGCTAAATTGTGGTTCATTTAGCGCCGCTATTTGGCCTGGGCTTTCATTTCCATCGGCCCAATTAACGTGCAGGCCCAAATCGCTGGGATATGAAGCTGTCTATCACCTTTGTATGAACTTTGAACTCACGTATGTCTCTATGTGATGTATGATGTATCATTTATGAACTACGAACTTTGATGTAATGTGTTAGTAAGACTTTGAACTATCTGTCCCTATTGGTATTTGTAATGTTTACATCTTCTATATCTTTATTATGTGTAAAATTACATGATGTTTGACATATTTTTTTCTCAGCCGTTAAATGACTTAGCCCGCTATTTAGTTCGCTATAGCCTTTCTTAGCCTTTTGGAGAGGCTGCCGCTAAGAGGCTTAGCCCGCTATTTAAAACTTTGGTATGAAGTGTCAATCTGAATCTGAAACCAAGTAATGTGCAGAAACTGTTATGAAGTGATGACCTGAAATGAAGTAATTCCATTGAACAGGTACGGTTTCCTTCAGGCTCAGGGAACATCGATTTGCCAGCTTTGAATTGCGCCCCTGGAGGACAGCCTCAGTTTTTGGTCCCCAATAGCACAGGATATTTGTGCTTGTGAGACAGAGAAGTGGTACAGTGAGACTTCACATGTTGATCAATAGCCATAAATGTCAGACGACAAACGTACACCTAGCTTGACTCAGATAATGCTCGAATTAATTTTCTTTGTCGAGTAATACCGACAACTTGTGTCAAGGCTTTGCTGTAAAGCAAGAAAATAAACAATAATAGGCTCGAAGAATGGAGGGGCGTTGTCAATTTGCAGGGTGTTTGGTTCGAGGAATGAGTTAGTCCATTTTCTCGCTCTTCACTTTTTTTGTTTAGTTTGGGAATGGAATGGGTTGATGCATCATCACCTCATTCCTTACAAGTTCATAATTAGTACTAGTAATATGGAATGGAGTCATTTCACCAAATTTGAGGAACGGACTCATGATGTATCACCTCATCTAGAATGGTTTGATTCTTCAAACCAAACACCCTATATATTTCTTAAACCAGCTTCTTCATGACAGACAAAAACATATCAATGATTCCTTTTTATTTCAAAAAAAAAACGTCTTGATAAAAGCTGGACAAGATGGAGCGATACTACAAGTTGAGAAACTAAGAAGGCTTACCATCCCACCAGCAAGATCACTGAATTCACACCAACCGCAGCTGAGATAAAATCACACCAAAACTTAAACATGATTTACTAAGTGCATGCCCAAATGTATCCTGCAGAATAATTGCACAAACACAGTTGCACTTCGCATTGAAGATCTTGTACCCAACCATCCTCTCAAAATACCACCTCTCATACGAAAAGATCAGGAGACAAAAACAGGCAATGTACACTACAGAAGAAACAATGCATTTTTCTTATTCAGTTGAAATGTAAATCAGGTAGACAATTTTTTCCTTTTCTCTCAACCATACTGCTCGTTAAATAGAGACTTGACTCTGACAGGTCACCTTTATATCATAATGAATGTCCTAAGGTAAAATAGATAAGCCTAAAATTCAATACAAGTGACTAAAAGAATGAAAGGGCTTATACTTACATATGAGTTACCTAAACACACATGGGGAAAATATCAGATATTCTACGATAACCTGAACAAGATCACAGCTTAGAATGTTGCAACATAACAGAAGTGCCTTTCAAACAGTTCCAAGAAATGATTCCAGAGGGTAAGCAGAACGCAATGCTTGTGGCAACAACAGCTCAGTGGGAAATGAAAAGGCTAAAGCAGTATGTATACAGTGTTAATCTGAAACCATGAAATGTGCAGAAACTAAAATATGAAGTGGTGATCTGAAATGAAGTAAATTCATTGAACAGGTACTGTTTCCTTCGGGCTCAGGGAACATCGAGTTGTCAGCCTTGAATTGCGCCCCTGGAGGACAGCCTCAGTTTTGGTCCCCAATACCAATAGCACAGGATATTTGTGCTTGTGAGACAGAGAAATGGTACAGTGAGACTTCCCATGTTGATCAATAGCACATATATATCAGAAGAGAAACGTACACCTAGCCTGACTCAGGTACTGCTAGAATTAATTTTCTTTGTCGAGTACTACCGACAACTTGTGTAAGGTTTTGCTATAAACACAGAAAATAGAAAATAACAGACTTGGAGAATGGAGGGGCATTGCCGATTTGATAACTCGAACCAGTATCTTCGAGACAAATAAAATACATATCAATGATTCTATTTTTTTGAAAAAATGTCTTGATAAAAGCTGAACAAAATGGAGTGATACCACAAGCTGAGAAACTAAGAAGGCTTACCATCCCACCAGCAAGACCACTGAATTCACATCAACTGCAGTTGAGATAAAATCACACTAAAACTTAAACATGATTTACTAAGTGCGCGCCCTAATGCATCCTGCAGAATAATTGCACAAAACACAGTTGCTCTTTGCATTCAAAACCTTGTACCCAACAATCCTCTCCAAATGCCATGTCTCGTACGAAAAGATCAGGGGACAAAAACAGGCAATGTACACCGCAGAAGAAATAATGCATATTTCTTAAGATATCCAGTTGAAATGTAAATCAGGTAGACAATTTTTTTTTCCTTTTCTCTCAACCACACTGCTTGTTGAATAGTCACTTGGCTCTGACGGGTAACCCTGATATCATAATGAAGGTCCTATGGGCTATGGTAAGATAGATAAGCCTATTGCCTAAAATTCAATACAAGTGGCTAAAAGAATGAAAGGGCTTATACTTACATATGATGAGTTACCTAAACACACATGGGGAAAATATCAGATATTCTGTGATAATCTGAACAATCACACAGGAATTAATAAGAATTCACAAAGCCCATCCTTTTGGATGAGCCCTTCGATTTCACTTCTCGTACACTTAATTAGTCTGAAAGAGAAGGATAAAATTTTGCAAGTATACCAAATGCTAGCCTACATATTCAACATCATTACAGACACTAGGCCCTGCATAAGTGCTATATGCACTGATGACTTTGCCAGACAAAGACAACTCTAGCTGTAAAATATCCATGAGAGTCTGATCCCAGTTCCCAGCTGTTTATCGCAAGTCAGAAAGGATGCCTAATGGCCTTCCAAAACTACGTCACTATAGCACAAATGCCGATCTAGTACACAAATTAGTCCTGTTGCATACTATTATCACCTACAGATCTTACTTTT